AATACATCATCATGGCACGCAGGCCGAAAGGAAAAACTATCTATCTAATCCAAGTTCTTCTAGCGCGCTCCGGAAGCTAATCATCTGTGCCTGAAAGCCAAATATATCTGTTCAGCTAATAATGCTAGTAACCCACTCCAACGCGTTAAAGTACAATATAGGTATATATATATATATATATATATATATATATATATATATATATATATATATATATATATATATATATATAGGTATATGAAAACCATTTTGAAGAAGGAAGATATATACTTAGGAGACTCTAGCTTTTAAAACCAGGAATAGACTCGACGGGTAGGGATAAACACATTAAACAATGATAAACAGTTATATAGAGACAATATCATAAAGAACATGTATCTAAGGTCACAGTTCACTTTCAAATCATTCACATCATCATTCAATCATCATCCAAGTCACACAAGCACACTTTGGTGGCGCCACGGGACCAATCGCATACCCCGAACATGAGGGTTAGTACATATAGTACTAACACGGCCCCGCAGCACCCTACCTCATACCGTAGTATGAAGGGGTTGACCGCAACCAACCGTATAGACCGTCGATAGTTTCAACGGCGGATCACAGCCTACACACCGCTGACGCGCTCAGTCGGTGGACTGTGATCCTCTTTTTGGGGACTACGACCCTACACACCGCTTGACGAGCTCAGTCGGTGGGTCGTAACCGATCAAAGCCCTACACACCGCCTGAGGGACTCATCCGGTGGGCGATGATCTTCGGGGACTACGACCCTACACACCGCTGGCACATACACTCGGTGGATCGCAACCGACCATAGCCCTACACACCGCCTGATTACTCATTCAGTTGACTATGGCCTTCCTCGGGCTAGTTGCCCTACACACCGCCTGGCGCGTCCAGTCGGTGGACCATAGCACTCGAGGCCCATGTGGACCGCAGCCCAAGAAGTGAATCACTGATCGCAGCCAGAAGAATGAACCGCAGCTCATGAGTAACCAATTTGATCGCAGCCAACTTCTGAACCGCAGCTCAGGAATAACCAATTTGATCGCAACCAAATTGGGGTATCATGCTCACATAGCACATAGTAGCATATATTAGCACATTGGGAAGGGGGAAAGCATATAATTAAACTTATGCGTGATCATCCACATACTAAGAATAGTCCTAAGGGGTTCATGTATCCCCCTCCTAGGCCAACGGGTTACCGATTCAACTAGCATGCAATACATAAGACTCTTTTATCCTACGAATGGTACCCGAAACATCAAACTAGACTCATGCACGACAAACGGAGTCCGTTGGGACACCACGGGGGGTTGGGGAACATCAAACGGGGAAGCCAAAGTCCCGAGGTGGGCAACGACCAGCGGGTAGCCGGTGGGTGGAGGGCCACCCGCCGGCGATACTCCTCCGGGCAGTCGCCCTCCCGGCGGCGTCTTCTTTGGGCAGCGGGTAGGAGGCGGGTCCCCCTACCCCTACCTACCCCCCACTGACTCTTTATCAAAATAAACGTCCCGAGATCCTCCGTGGAACCCGGAACCATGCTTAGACACTTTTAAACACAAATAACGGCACCATGTAGACAATTAATGGATCAAAAGCAAGAATCACATAGAACACACCCTATTATGACTTCTAAACATAAACACACCCGAACATGCGAATTCCCCCCCAAATATATCACAATACAAATTCCCAATTCAACCTAGGACTCTATTCCCATTCAAATCATCAAAGTCATAGTTTATCTTTAACATCAAGAAACATCAAGATTTATCAAGGATCATCACATAAACATCAAGAACCTCTTATCATCATCAAGATCATCAAGAGCACACATAAAATCATCCCATCAATCATCAAGATTATATCACAATTATCATAATGGATTTCATCAAGACACAAGCATATAGAAGGAGCCAAAGAAGGAGATTATAACAAGGAAAATAGGTTTTTTTGAGACATGGGTTACCTCTTAGCCTTAATTGAATTCCTTGGCTATGAAGGGTCTTTCTTTAAGATTTCTTCTTTCTTGATTTCTCCTATGGGAATTCTTGGAAATTGTTGTGTGGTGAAAGTTATTGTGGTGTGGGTTCTAGGTGCCTCCTATGCCCCTATTTATATATCTAAGAGTCCTAATTAGGGTCTAAATGGTATGGGCTTGCCAATTCTATTCCTTATAGGACTAAGGGGTTGGTTTTAGGGATAAGGGTTCATGGACTATGGTGGACCCCTTTTAGCGAATTAATGGATTTTAATTCCCTTTTTAGGGTAAGTAATTAATTAATTAGTTTTTTTTAGGGGTCGTAACATGGCGTGTTACACCTAGTGTGCCACACAACGCATGTATTGAAATTTTCGGAACCTCTGTTGGCGGGGTGTGATGTTCAAGGACCCCATCTTCGTCGCACGATTCTGAATTTTTTCCCTCACTGATAGTGTCAGATTGGTCGTATGATAAGAGGATAAAAATGGTTTTGTTTGGCACCGGTGACCTGGCCGAAATAATTCGTCACAATTATAACACAAACTCGACGGGCTTGGAGTTCGGCAACAGCCAATTGTTTGATCGGCATGGTTGTTCTAGAACTTGCATTCTGGCTTGCCGGTACCGGCAAAGGTAATAATGGCGGTGTAGTAGGAAGACGAGAGGCTAGTGGGTTGTTAGGTCTGCTGCTGGTATATCTTCAAGGAACTGGCTTTGGATTTAAGAGTCTTGTATCACGTTGTTTGTCCTTCACCAATTTGGCCATTGCGATGACATCACAAAGAGTGGGAAGTCTGTATATGGATAATTCACCTTGAATTGTGGGCTTTAGGCCATATATAAAGCAATCTAGTAAAGCTTCGAGAGGTAGGTTGGTAACCCGGTTGCTAATGGTTTCAAACTCTGATTGGTATGGTGCAACCGTAATTTTATAGGTGAGCTTGAATAGTGTCGCACGGTGGTTAACGTACGAGGAAGGGCTGAACCATTGTTCAAGAGCTGTAGTAAACGCCTTCCAAGAAGACAATTATTGGTTCAATGAATCAACTAGAACCACGAGAGAGCTTGCCCAGTCATGCAAAAACTTACAATGTCTAACTTTTGTTCTTCTGCAACTTCCCATAGGCTAAAGTATTTGTCAGCCTGAAATATCTAGTCAACGGATTGGTTCCGTCGAAGGTGGACAAGTCGCAGCGAAGAAGCCATGGTGGCGTTACGCTCGCATTCTGGCTTACTGTAAAGGTGTTAGCACGCTAGGTCGAAGTTGAAGCGGTCGGCGATGCCACAGATTACAATTGGGAAAGCCATCTTCGAGACTCTTATACATACATACACAAACATACGCACGTGCACACACAGATACACATATAAAGTTAATTTCATGAATGGTTCATTGATTATTGATATTTACCAATTTTATCCTTTGACTTTCAGTTGGACCATATATGGTCCCTTGACTATTGATCTTTACCAAATTTCCTTAACTATCAATATGACCATAAATGGTCCTTTGATCCCCGCATGGACAACTCAACTACTCATAGAGGTGAAAGTTGGAAAGAATGACCAGGGATCGAGTCTCACCAGCGGCAGTGTGGGAGCAACCTTTCAAAGTGAGGGGGGCTTCTTGTGCGTAGTAAGCAAAGGTCTAGCCTCTGTGGTTCATGTTCAGTTGAGTTACCATGATTTACATCCTCCAAATGCTCTGTCGGGTCAGGGTTGGGGTTCAACCTTTTGGAAAGAAAGAATAAATGGTCCTTTGAATATTGATTTTGTTCTAAATTTGGTACTTCAGTTAAATATCCATTTGATAAACATTAAATATAAGAATAATAATGTAAAAATTAGCTTGTTGTTGAGATGGACAAATTGAGTTCATAAATTGAATAAATTGAGTTAATCAGTGTGAAGAAGTGAAGAACTAAATTTTTTCTACATTATTACCCTTAAATTTAATGTTTATTAAAATGGTATTTAACTAGATGATCAAATTTAAAAAAAAAAAAATCAATAGTCAAGGGACCACTTATGGTTAAATTGAAAGTCAAGGGCGAATATTGGTACAGATAAATAGTCAAGGAGTGTGTGGAAGGGTATTGATTTTGATTTGTGTACTATGCTGCATAGGGCATTGATGTTTCTGGATTGTTGGAGAAATGCGAATGAGAAGCTGTCAGCTGGTGTTGCCCACTCAGATTCGCATGTTGTGGAAGGTTGGGCAAGGCCACCATATGGGAGGCTAAAACTTAATACGGATGCTGCGCTAAATGTTGAGGAAAATGCTATGGGCTTTGGATGGGTCTTACGTGATGATGTTGGAAATTTTCTGGCGGCCAAGAATATAAGAATGCCCGGGTTATGTGCGGTTAGGGAAGCAGAGGTGCTATCTATTTGGGAGGCATTGAGTTGGCTAAGGGGTACAGGACTGGGTGCGGTGGATGTGGAAACAGATTGTCAGGTTGTTTTTAATGCAATTTCTTCAGCTTCTTTTATTTCAGTTTTTGGTTATTTAGTAGATGATGTAAAGAATTTGGCATCTGAGATTGATGATGTGAAATTCTGTCATGTTAAGCGATATGCGAATTGTGCTGCCCACACTGTTGCTAGGGAGGCCTTTTCTGTGTCAGGTTGCGGTGAGTGGTTGGATGAACCACCTGCCTATCTTGTTAACATTCTTCATTCCGATTTAATGAATTAAGTTATTCTTTTCAATAAATAAATAAATAGTCAAGGAAACATTTATGGTCCAATTGAAAGTCAAATCATAAAAATTGGTAAATGACAATAGTCAATGGACCATTCCTGAAATTAACTATATATATATATATATATATATATATATATATATATATATATATATGGCGAGGTTCAAGTGAGGCTAGGGTGTTAGGTGAGGACTGTGGACAAATTGCATCCATCAGATCAGACCATCTAACGGCGCTGATTGCACAATGAGAGAAATTAAAAGGACAACAAATCAGACAAGTAACTGTAGTAGTATTTAATATTGGGGGTAAAAAGGGTAATCGGATAATTATTTGTGCAAGACAAGAAAGGAAGGAACGAAGTCTCCGGGTCTGTACGCTTAGGGTTAAAACAACAAAAGTCTAGGGAAGGAGTCGGCATTGCACAATCACTAGAGGGGAAAACGAAAGCACAAACGGCAACTAGGTGAAGAGGTGGGGGCGACTACACAACCGGGAGCTATGGCGGACGGAACACCAAGAAGAAGTCAACGGCGTCCATCTATTGAGGCAACGAGTAGACTCCGTAAGCAAACAGTTTAATTTTTTTTATTATTATGTTTTTTATTTTGATCGAGTGCCTACAAAATTGGATTGATTGTTTGTGAAATTGCATGTTTGTAGTCATTGCTATTGCGTTTTTTTTTTGGATAATAAAAATTGATCGATCCTGAGTGAGGCGTGGGATGGGAGTTGTGTGGCGGAGGGTAGAAAGGGTGTGTTGGTATTTTTTTTTTGTTTTTGTTTTTTTTTGTTAACAAAAACCAAGGCTGGCCGTGGAAATGTGAAACATAGTCTGTTATTTTTTCCAGTAGATCTGCTTTACTATTTTATCAAGCTTTCTGTGTATCAAAAGGATTCTTTATGTTGAAAGTGAATTTCAAGTTGGACCAATCTATGAATGAGCAAGTGATTATTTCAACTTTTAGTTTATTCTTGAACACAGAGAGGTACATTAAGAAGGTGTGTTCACATGGGTCACCAATTCTGCTGATATGAATAAAAGAATAAAAAAGTATTAAGATTTGCCTTTTTTTAATAGTAAAGATAATTAAAATAGTAAGAGTATGCGGAATGCTTAATGTGCGTCTTAGTAGTTATGATGTGTGCATTTTGTATTAATAAGAATGCGTGACTATGTTGTGGGGAGGATGAGTCTGCATTCCATTTGTTTTCAAGATGTCCACTAGCAACTCACTGTTAGGACAGAATGGGAAGAGTGATCTATCAAGACTGTTCATCTCTCATGGATTGGTTAGAAGTAAATTTCAACTCCCTTACTGATAAGGAACTCTGTTTATTCATATCTGTTTGTTGGAAGGTGTGGGAAGCTAGAAATGACAAAGTGTGGAATCACATTGTTATTCCTGATTATGTAGTATTGGGAAGAGCTCATACATTTCTTCATGAATGGCAATTTGTCAACTCTGAAGGGAGGCATCAAGTTAATGAGGCTCTACACAATCAGAGATGGATGGCACCCCCGTTAGGGCTGGAAAATAATTAATGTGGATGTTACTCTGGACTTTGCAAATAAAAGGATGGGGTTTGGCCTTGTGTTGAGAGAATCAAATGCTAACTTTCGTGCTGCAGAGGCGAGTGATTTCTTGGTAAGGGTTTTATAAATCAAATGAAGCAGAGGCAATGGGAGTTAGAGAAACTTTGAAATGGATGAAGGAATGCAGTGAATATTTTATACATGTGGGGACAAACTCTTTGAATGTTGTTAAATTAATGCATACTCTTTTGTAATTCCCACTGTATTCGATTTATGCTATGCCTTCATAAGATCCATTTTTGTGCATAGTTAATGTGTGCATTTGAAGGTGTGCGAATCATGCATATAAATAAATTTCAAGGCAGTTAAATCATGTAAGTGTCAGCAGTTGTGCAGCTGCATGGTTGACCAGTGTGCAAGTATGCAGATTCAAGGCTTGTACTAAGGTTTTTATTTTTTATGAGACAAGTTATTTTACTAAATTTGTGGTTGGAAAGATAATATAAACTGACACGTGAGCTTTCATTTTGAGTAGGCTTCATGAACGCTTTGAATTAGGTCCAAAAGGACTTGAATTATTTAAAGTGGTGCAATCAATTTCTTATATTTGTTAATTGAATTGTCATGGTAGATTCGAAATTGATTTTCACAATACATTCATTCTTAATTTTTAATTTCACGCTTACTAAATGAAAATTAAATGAATATTGCGCAAAAAAAAAAAAAAAAAAAAAAAAAAAAACACTAGCCAATGTGCACCAGTGAGATTTTCAATGGTGCAAGTATTTGGTATGCCCAAGTGACGGGATGTGCAACGGAGTGGTTATTCGTTGTGCAGGTATGCGGATTTCACATGCTACATATTGTGCAACTGTGTGGTTTGTCGTAATGTTAGTACGAAATGAAATGAAGCAATTTATTTAAACATCACTTAAAACATTATTTCAATAAAAAAAATTTGTAAAACAATCAAAGTGCATTGATAATTGATACAAAATCAAATGTGCTTAAACGAAAATAAGAATACAGCCGCCAAATGAGTTTAACACTGAGAATTTTCACACTGCTGAGAAGAAATGCACACTACTGAGGTACATTAAGAATACACTGGGAATGCACAACTACTATAGGCAGAAATGCACACTGTTGAGCAACGAAAACAAAAAAAATAATAATAAAAAATACAGTCGCCAAATGAGTTTAACACTGGGAATTTTCAATGCACAAATCCATTATTAAATATTGCACATGATTGAAAATGTTAACCCAAAATAATAATAATATTAATGATTAAAGGCAAACCACACACGACTAAAATGAGAATAACAAAAGAAAAAAAAAAAACACAATCGACCCACGCCAAAAATGTTTTTAAACCAAAAAATAAACACCCACAATTTAGCTATATTAAAAACACTTTTCCCAAAAAAAAAAAAAAACATGAGCCATTATAATAAATAGATAAAAAAAAATACTAGACATCGCGAGTAAATAATAACACAATGAACGTAAAGAGTGCAAGCATCGAGAACCCCAAAACCCAAAGCACCCCACCACAACCACAACGCTTATCTTAAACAGGAACACAGAAGTATGCACAAAAATAATAAAAAAAATGATGCACTAATATATATTGAAAACAACGAAAACACACACTTGGAGAATCCATAGCCCCAAACGCAGGGAAAAAAAAAAAGTCAGTAATATTTGTCAAAACACAAATAAACAAAACTAAAATTAATAACAAAGGCACACAATATAAAAACATAACGCTAAATCACCATGGAAATCAATAGTATCCTTAATTACCATATTTAGTCACCTAAAAACATGCATATCAGTTAAAAAAAAATAAAGGAAAAAAAAAGACTAAAAAGCCCCTAAACTAAAGTGGCGGCAATAATAGAAAAAACCATCCCAAAAATAAACTAAAAAACAAGAGTCATAGATCAAACTAAAATCGAAGGTCGAAATTTGACCACAATCCTCATGTGGAAACATGTCCTCATTTGATCCCCTATCTATATATATAATCCGAATCATATGAGAATAATATGAGAACCATGTCCCAAATGAGAACGTGAGGACAAATTTAAACCATTGATCTGCAAGATCTGATGGATGAGAATCAAGTAAAAAAATGAGCGGGTTGATTTTCATAAATATTATAAACTTCTAAAATGAGCGGGGTCATTTTCATAAATATTACAAAGTTTTGTTTATTTCAACCGTTAAATCTACTAGATCAATGGTTTAGAGTTGTCCTCACGTTCTCACCTGAGACATGGTTCATTCTCACTTAAATGAGTAGTTATGCTGTGCATCCGTATGCACCATGCATGGTGCATACAGATGCAAAAACGACGTCGTTTTATTAAAAACGCGCGTCTCCCCTTTAAAAAAAAAAATTTAGGTTCGATTCCCAGCAACAACATTATGTTGTTCATTCACTTTGGAATTTTAGTTCATAGATTATGGAATTTTAGTTCATTGATTCTGGAATTATAGTTCATCGATTCTGGAATTGTAGTTCATAGATTCTGAAATTTTAGTTCATAGATTCTGGAATTTTAGTTCATTCATTCTGGAATTTTAGTCATTCATTCTGGAATTTTTAGTTCATAGATTATATTCTGGAATTTTAGTTCATCGATTCTGGAATTATAGTTCATCGGTTCTGGAATTTTAGTTCATATGTTGTTGCTGGGAATCGAACCTGAATTATTTTTTTTAAGGGAGACGAGCGTTTTTAATAAAACGACGTCGTTTTTGCATCCGTATGCACCATGCATGGTGCATACGGATGCACAACATAATTTTCCTTATACCATTGCAAATTATATCGTGCACCGCGGTGCATAATCGATTATGCACCGCGCATCAAAACGACGTCGTTTTGTTAAATGAAAAAAAATGACATTAGTTTTCCGTCGTTCCGCACCCTTTCGCAAAAAGTAACTCTGTTATTCAGTTTCATTTTGTATACACTGCAGTCTCAGTTCAACACAACTACAGTTTCATTTCGATATAATACAGTTTTATTCGATATTTATAGACCCAAATATGTGAAAATGTTATTTTATTTTATTTTATATACACTATAGTTTTTTTAAAACACAACTACAGGATCATTTTGATATAATTACAGCTTCATTGTACAATATACACTCAAATATGTGAAATGTTATTCAGTTTCATTTTATATACACTGCAGTTTCATTTCACCACAACTACAGTATCATTTTGATATAATTTCAGTTTGATTTGATAATATAAAAATAATACGTGAGGCAGTGTCGGTGTTTAGATATACTGTAGTGTCAGTTGGTGTTTAATATAAAAATAATACGTGAGGCACCGCGGTCTACGATATGACGACTGTTATACCATGGACTAGTGTCACCTTGCATTGTGAAACCTGATCTAAAATGACATTCAAATGATGTATTAACAATTAATAGATTATGTGCTTATAAATAAATTAAAGACACATAATTTGTTAACTACATGTATATAATATGTTAATTGTAGACATAATGTATTATCACACAATTTATTAATTGAAAGCACATAAAACATATTAGCTATAGACACATAAGTTTTGGAAATCCCTAAACCCGCTTGTGAAGTACACTTCCTCAACATGGACTTCCCATGGAGAATTATCTCCGTAAAAGAGTTGGGCCGTAAAATTCACATGCTCGACCAAGTGTTGTTGCATGCACGACAGAATTTGTAGTTGCATTGAGCTTATGATAGGAATCAAGTAATTGTAGACGTAGTGGGAGTGGGATTGGGGGCAAATTATGCCCTGGACCCGTGTCCACAATGAATTGTGGACACGGGCCCAAAACGATGTCGTTTTTCAAAAAAAAAACGCGTCATTTAGTTAAAAAAAAAAAATCGCGCGCGTTTTGCTGTTAACGGCGTTATTTTTTTTTGGATTATGAATGTACAGTTATGCCATTATGAATGTATAGTTATGCAATTATGAAATTATGAACACAGAACTCTAACATTATGAACTTACACTTATGAACATATAGTGATAAAATTATGACCATGGAGCAAAATTGTGAATATAGAGCTTCGAAGATTATGAATGTACAGTTATGGAGTTATGAATGTACAGTTATAGAGTTATGAATCTACAGTTATGGAGTTATGAATCTACAGTTATGAGATTATGAATCTACAGTTATGAAATTTTGAATGTACAGTTATTGATCGAATTATGAACATAGAGCTCTGACATTATGAACTTAGAATTATGAACATATAGTGATAAAATTATGAACATAGAGCTCTAAAATTGTGAACATAGAGCTTCGAAAATTATGAATGTACAATCATGGAGTTATGAATGTACAGTTATGGAGTTATGAATGTACAGTTATAGAGTTATGAACGTACAGTTATGGAGTTATGAATGTACAGTTATTAACATATAGTACTAAATTTATGAACATATACTCCTATAACGAAGCGATCTGAAAAAAAAGAAAAAGGAGATAACAGTGCCTAACGGCACTGTTACCCGTGTCCAGCATGCATGCTGGACACGGGTGGAACGCATAACAATTGGGGATTGGGGTAATGCACGTCTTGAAATTGCGCCACTGCTGGAAATTATGGAATTTCCGACCACCTGAAAGTGATCTTAAATCAAGTCGAAAGTCTTGTTCCGACCACTTTTGGTATCCGGAAAAACCGTTGTTGCTATTTCCGACTACTTTTTACTTTCGACTTGATTTAAGATCACTTTTAGGTGGTCGAAAATTCCATAATTTTCAGTAATGTGCATGCAATGACTCTAATGGCAACCGCAAGCATCCTAAAAAATTAAATTTATAGGAAACTAACAAATATATAATATCAGTAACATTGTAACTAAATCAAAACGAAAAACCATCTGCACTAATTAAAAAATATTGGTACTATTGTAACGAGGTCGGTTTAAGGTAAGGTCATATGGCACCAGAAAATTAGAAGGGGCAGCTATTATGTTCTTGATCAACGTTGTAGCATCGAAGTTTGTGTGAATGTCAACTATGTAGTTAAATTTGAATCCAAATACGTTGCATAAAAGAATCCACTTGCGAGCAGGTTCAAAGATGTAATCAGTACTATCATTATATCTAGAAAATGTGAAAACTGGGAACTGTTTCTCATTATGTGTATGGATATAATGGGTGTGTTTGGTTGATGGGTTTTGTTCATAGGAATGGGTATGAAAGTGATTGTTATTGTTTGG